TTATAAGGACCTGTAAGATAAATTAATCTGATTCAGGCAAAAATGGTGGGAGGGAACAGAGGGGAAGGGGAAAACATGTATTGCAAAGATGTACTAATAAAAAAAAAAAATTTTTTTTTTTTTTTGTCTTTTTCATTTTTATCGGTACCGGGGATCGAACTCATGACTAGCTGCTTTACAAGGCAGGCGCTTATGCCGCTGAGCTAAATCCCCAGCCCCTAATAAAATGTGTTTTAAGAACAAAAGGTGAAAGAACTTAAGTTTTTAATTTTATAGGCTATGGGTTAATTTTAGCTGTTATAGACAGTAGTAGAGCACTGAGCTAGTATGCACAAGGTCATGGGTTCTATCCCCAACAATGAAAAAAATAAATTTTAGCTTTTGTGAGTTGAACATTAATTTTTAAAACTGAAGACAACACTGAATAGGTTTTTAACACAAATGCCACCACAATGTGCACCAAAAATTCTCATATTAACCAATGGTTTACTCAAACTAAACTGCTGTTTTGTAAGCCACTTACTGAACACAGTGCTGTTAAAAATTTGTACAAGGACCAGCCATGATGGCCTAGGCCAGCTTTCAGGATGGTGACCCAGGAGGATGGATCTGAGTTTGAGGTCAACCTTAGCTACATATTTGAGTTCAAGGCCAGACTCAACTACCTAGGAGACCCTTTACCGAAAAATAAAAAACACACACAACAAAACAAACCCCAAAAATAGTTACAAGGGCTTGGGAGTGTAGTTCAGTGGTGAAGTACACCATAATCCCAGCAGGACTTAGAATGCTGAGGCAAGAGAAATTTGAGGTTAAGGCCAGCCTGATCTACATATGGAGCGTATCTCAAAAAACAAAAAAACTGGTTTTTTAAAGATACTTAAAAAAACAATTAGTTAATACAACAATTACATTACATACTTGTTAGAATGGCCAAAATCCAGAACACAGACAATACCAATTTGTTTTGTTTATTTGTTTGTTTTTTTGGTACTGGGGATCAAACTCATGACCTTCTACTTTTTAGGCAGGCGCTTGTGCCAGAGCTCAATGTCCAGCCCACCAATTTGTTTTTTTAACAGGGTTTTGCTATGTAGTCCAGGCTGGAACTGAACTCCTGACAATCAATCCTCCTGCCAGGATTATAGGAGCACACTACTACATTCCGAAAATTTTTTCCTTTTTTTTCCCAAATCCATTTGGGGGGGGGTGTGTGTGTGACAAGGTCTCATTATGCAGTTCAGGCTGGCTTTGGGCTCTCTTTGTAGCCCACACTGGTCTCGAACTTGCAATGATCTGATCCACCTGCCTCAGGCTCCTGGAGTACTGAGATTATAGGAGTAAGCCACCATGCCTGGCTTCCAAATCCATTTTATTCAAGAATAAAAAGAAAGAAAAAAGAAGAAGAAAAAATTACAACAAAATTTCAAAGCACATCAGTCAGGCGGCAATAATGGTACATACATTACACAGTCATCCCCAAATCATTCATTCAGAGCACAAGACATCTGCATTCAATTGTCGCATTCTGCATTTTTGACAGTCTTGTTATGTAGCCCAGGTTAACTTCAAACTCATAAATATCCCCCTCAGGCTTCCAAGTCCTGGAGGGACTGGTATTGGTGGGACTGAAACACAGTACAGCTACTCTAGAAGTGTGATGTATTATTACAAAGCTGAACACACCCTTAAAATTATGACCCAGTAATTCTGGCTCTTGTATTTACAAAAACCTGAAGCAATCAACATGTCCAAAAGTCAATGAACTGATGAGCTCTAGCACATCCAGAAAGCATTACTCAGGACTAGAGAGAAATGGGTTCTCAAACTATGAGAAGACATGTAGGAGTTCAATCTCCAGCATGAGAAAGAAAGAAAAGGAAGAAAGAAAGAGAGAAAGAAAGAAAGAAAAGACACGACACAGGGAATCTTCAATGTATGTTATTTAGTGAAACAAGCTAATCTGAAAAGGCTGTATTGTGTATGATTCCAAGTACAGTATGTGACAGCCTGGAAAAACAGAAACTGTGAGACAATAAACAGATCAGTGGTTGCCAAGGTTTGTGGGTGGGAGAGTGATGAACAGGCAACAGTGAAACTATTCTATATACTATAATGGTGGATGCATGTCATTGTGCATTTATTCAGGCCCACAACATAAAGAGTGACAAACACAGCAATACAGGTACATTATCAATTTTAATGAATACATCCCTCTAAAGGAGTGTTGACATGGTAGAGGGTAGGCATGTATCAAGATGGGGTACTCAGGAATTCTGCACTGTCTTCTTTCTTTCTTTCTTTCTTTCTTTCTTTCTTTCTTTTTTGAGATAGGGTCTTGCTATAGTTCAGGCTGCCCCTTAACTCACTATGTAGCCCAGACTGGCTTCAAACTCACAACAATCTCATGTGCCGCCATGTCCAACTGTCCTTTCAATTTTCAGTGAACCTAAAAACTCTAAAAAAAAAAAAAAAATCTTTAAAAATTAAATAGAGGGGGCTGGGGATATATCTCAGTGGCACAGTGCCTGCCTGGCAAGCTCAAGGTTGTAAGTTTGATCCCCAGTACCAATTAATAAATAAATGGAAAAAACTCAATTAAAAGATTAAATGTGGCAGTGTACACTTGTAATCCCAGAACTCAGGAAGCTGAAGCTGCAGAGTCATAAATTCTAGGCCAGCCTTTATTACATAGTAAAATCTCAAAGCCTAACAAAACAAAAAAAACAGAGAAAGAAAAGGAAATTAATATATTTTCTATGGTTCTACTTATATAAAATGCAAACTCCTTTATATTAACAGATAGCAAATCAGTGGTTGCCTGAGGATAGAGAAGAAAAGACTACAAAGTGGCACAGCAGATCTTGTGGGTAACCGGTATGGGTTTTTTAAAATTATTTTGTTTTCATTTTTTTAACGTTCTATATCTTGATTATGCCAGGTGCACACAACTGCAAGAACTTAATAAACCAAGAGGGATACAGCTCAGTACAAAGACCCTGAGTTCAAACCACTGCTACAAAAATCAATCAATCTCAAACAACACAAACATTTGATGTGACATGTAACTAGGCAAACTAGTTTTTTGGTTTTTTTGAAATAGGGTCTCACTATTTAGTCCAGGCTGGCCTTGAACTTATGTAGCTGAGGGTAGCCTCAAACTCATGGTGAACCTCCTGTCTCAGCCTCCCAAGTGATGAGATTACAGGTGTTTGCCACCATGACTGGCTAGAAATAACTAGAAGTAACATAAATTACAATTTTTAAGGAATAAAACCAAATTTCTAATTTTCCTTGTTTGATCAGTTTTTTTTTTTTTCTTTTTGATACTGGGAATTGAACTCTGGACCTTGCACTTAACAGGCAGGCACTTGTGTCGCTGAGCTATCTCCCCAGCCCAGGACTGTAGATCAGTATCTACAGTCACATGAATTCTTTTTCTCAGATTATTACATACATGTAAAATCTGTTATAACTCCTTCCCTCTACCCTCATGCCATTCAATCCCTCTCACTGGTTCCTAATAATCTCTAGAGAAAAGCAGGGAGGGATGCCACATAAACTCCCACTAAGCCTGAATGTTGTGATACAATGAATTCTGCACAATTATTCCGTTTTAGGGAAACATAAAGGCAAGAGCGCATCCTCATTCTTTCACCAGGTCTCTCTTCCCTTTCTCTGTAACATCGTTATAGTATTTATTATACTGTTCTGTAATACTGTAATTAATATTCTTTGTTTCTGTTTTAGTCTGATAAATTCTGTGGGCAGGAAGTGTGCCTTGAACACCTCTGAAGCAGGAGATCCTACCACATAGCAGATCTGCAAGTGTTGTGTCCACTTTCTTCCTTTCTTTTCACCTCAAATTGTCGAAATGGTAAGCAACCCACAAAAATGAGGCTCTTCAGAAGGTGGGTGTGTGGCTCGGCGGTAGTGCACATGCTTACTACATGTGTGTGTGAGGTCTTAGGTTCAATCCTCTGCATGAATAAATTTAAGTCTTTCAAGACCCAGTTTAAATGCAAGTTCCTCCTTGAAGCTGTTCTAAATGCCCTCATTAGAATCTTATAATGTTGCAGATATGTCCTAAGAGAAAATGATAGAGCCAGCTAAGGCCTAAGGACTGTTAACAGGAAGCTATATACCTACTTCCCCTAAATGGTAATCATAAACAGTACAAAATATAAGCCCAAGAAAAAAATTTTAATTTGACATCAGGATACCTCTTGACAGCAAAAAAAAAAAAAAAAAAAAAAAAATCAGCGGCAAGTAAAACTAGACTCCACAGACACATTTAGTGAAGACAAAAAGGCACAACCGTTTATAATGACTAAATCATAGCACAATTCTCAGTATTTTTTGGCATAAGATCTAGAAAAGAGTAAGGTTAAAAGACAAAATCAGAACTGTGCCACCTACATCGAGCAGTAATAACCTCCGACTAGAAGGCTAAGAGGACTCAAGAAAACTTTCGACTGACTCAGAGTGGTCCTTGAAGAAGTCGGTTTAGCCGGAGGGCCCCAGCTGGACCAGAGGGGCTGCCACAGAATGAAAGGAGCAGCCCGGCTGCTGTGAGGCCTACAGCCCCGTCTCCGGCCCCAGCAGCCAGAGGGGAGGTCAGGCGCTAGCCCTCCTCCCGGGACCCCACACCGGCCGTTCAGGTGGAGAAACGGCGTTTGCCGCCTCCCAAGGTGCACAGAACGAGCAGCCCCAACGCCCACTCAGCGAGGGTCCCACGGTTTCCGTGCGCTCCGCTGCCGCCCTGGGAGGAAGGGGAAGCGAAGACCTTCGCGCTCCAGCCAGGCAGGCCCCGAACCGGCTCGGGGCTAGGCACGGCGGGCTGGACCGCGCGGCCACAGGCTACAAACTCCGAAGACAAGACAACGGTTCGGGCGTCACACCTGAGGCCCTCACGACGGGTCCACAAGTTCGCCGGGTCCCGCCGCGCTGGCCTCAAAGGAACACTGAGAACCCGGGGACTCGGAAACCGCCAACCTCACCTGCCGCCTGTTCATCCGCCTCACATCGTCCAAAAAGTCTAGAGAGATCATGGTGGGGCCGGCAAGCGGGACGCGGGAAGGAGAAAGGGCGCGATGCCGCAGCTTAGCGGAACGGGAGGCGGAAGGACCCGGTTCTCGGCGGATGAGAGCCCGCGGACAGCACTTCCGCTTCCGGAAGGGCGAGGCAACTGTCCCGCCTCTGCGACTCGCAGAGCGCGACCCTTCGGGTCTTGCAGTGGGCTGGCCCCGTGTGATAAGTCTTCAGGCTCTGGATGTCGCCTTCAGAGGCCACAGGGAGCCAGCGACCGGCGCTCAGCGGAGCCGGTCCTCCCTCCCTGAGGCTGCGACCTGGGTTGACGGCCTCCGGAAGGCGGGCCTCACGCACACCTCGCCAATCACGCTCGGCTCCCGGGTCCGGGCGAGCCCAGGGGCGTGAGAGCGTACGGCGGAGTCGGGTGTGGTCTGGACGTGTCGCCTGGCGGTTCGTTCTCTAAATCCCGGGCTACGCTAAACTGGCGGTGGAACTGGTTTCCTTGCGCGCTTTGCGCACAGGTTGGATGGCAGGGGAGACTTCGGAGCGCTGTGTGAACCTCCGTGCAGTTTGCAGGCCGGTTGAAGAGAAGAATGTCCGGTACGATTCCTGTAGTGATTCCTGTGATCAGAAAGTCCTTCCCACCCTCGCCCCCCACATACTGGAGATTTAACTCAGGATCTTCACACTAAACTGCATGCCATTTTTATTTTTATTTACTTTTTACTTTTTTGCATATCATTTTTTAAAAACATTTTGTCGGAAATAGAATCTCACAAAGTTGCTCCAGTTGGCCTCGAACTTTGACAGCTTCCTGCCTGAGCCTCCTGAGGTACAGGGATTACAGGCATTTGTCACTACGCTTGGCCGTTTTCTCCCCAATCTTGATCTTTGCTGCCAGACCTGGTGGCTCAGGCCTGTAATCCTACCACTTTGAGGCAAGAGGATCGCAAGTTTTGAGCATAGCCTGGTGATTTATTGAGATACTGTTTCAGTTTTTAATTTAATTATTTTTTGAAACAAGTCCGTAGTTCAAGGAGGCTAGCCTGAATTACATAGTGAGACCCTGTTTCAAAAAAAAAAAGTTTGAGATTGTAATTTCCTATGCAGTCCCTGAGTTCAATCAGTACCCTAAAAAAGTGCTACATATGTTGCTCAGCAACCAGAGAGTTCAACCCTGGTAATAGACAGGTAAACATACATAAAAAAAATTACAATGACCCTGATTTGGCACAGGCCTGTAATCCCAGCACTCAGGAGATTGAGGCAGAATCTACACAATCTTGAGACCAGTTTGAACTACATAGTGAGACCCGGTCTAAAGAACAGATGAAACAGCTGGGTATTGTATGACACACCTGTAAGCCCAGCACTATCCCTGAGAGTTCAAGGCCAGTTTGGGCTACATAGTTCAAGATCAGCCTGAACTACATACTGAGACCTTGTCTCAAAAAGAAACAAAAAACAACATAAAACCAAAACCCACATGTATGAGCTTGAAAGAGTATATTTAGTGAAAGAAGCCAGTCACAAAATACCAAGTATTGTGAGATTCCATTTATGTAAAGTGTCCAGTACAGCCAATCCCAGATCGTGGAAGCAGGCACTCTTTGGGGGTGGGAAGAGCTGGGGGAAAGGAATGGCTGCAGGTGGCCCTAGGGTTTCTTTTGGAGGATGATAGTTGGGACAACTTGGTAAATATGCTAAAAACTATTGAGTTTAATAAACTGGTGAATTGGATGGCATGTGAGTTTTATCACAATAAAGCTGTTTGATAAAGAAAAAGTTGATACATTGTTCACTATTAAATTCACAGCCTGGTGCATATCAGATATCCAGTAAATATGTGTTGAATTTAATTAAAATCATGTGAGTGTTATGGTTTCCACCTAGATATGTCCTTAGAGCCTCATGCTGAGGCAGGGCCTTTGGAAGTGATTGGATGTCAGGCTGCTACAGTTAAGAGTAGTTGGGAAGGGGGACCTGGGTGGAAAAAGTGAGTCACTGGGGTGTGACCCAGAAAGATATCTCTCTTCTCTCGCCTCCTGCTCTCCACGACCTGAGCAGCTTCCCTGCACTAAGCCCTTCTCCTATGGAGCTGTACAACTGGTAGCACATGTTTGTAGTCTCAGCACTTGGGAGGCTGAGGCAGGAAGATCATTGTGAGTTAAAGGCCAGCCTGGGCTACACAGCAAGATCCTATCTCAATAATTAATTAATTTTTAAAAATCAAAATTTAAAAAATAAGCCAAAATAAACCTGTCCTCCTTTGTGTTGGGGGGGGGGAGTATTGTCCCAGAGTAATCACCGCAAATGTTGTTCTTAAATTTTCTCTACTTAAAGAGCTGAAAAACAAATTCTTACAGGGATTTGGGTTAAAGAAGGGAAAGAAAGGAAAAAGGAAGAAAAGGAAAAAAGAGAGAAGGATGCATCTGAATGTTTTCTGGTCGCTTTAGCAATAAGGAAAAGCAGCACCCTTCTGTTGAAAGCCATCCACAGACAGCCCTTCTGACATTATCCCTTAGAAGGGCAGGTTCAAGCTGGAGGGCCTAGGAAAGCCCTCCACTCAGAGCTGCTCCCTGAGCAGCAGTGGGTAGCCAGAAGGGCAGGAGCAGCTTCCTGTGTTTCTGTCAGAGCAACTCTGGTGGCTCTTATGTCCCTGGGGCCCAGTGCTGGCCCGAGTGAGACCTTCTACCAAGGGCTGGTTTATCCATGCCTACAGCCCCAGGAGCCTAGCATGTGTCCCACAGCCAACTGTCCTGAAGCCCTGTGCACTTTGCTATCAGGCTTTGCCTTCTGCATCGTCCACAAACCTTGGGATCAGGTCTTCCAAAGGTTGCCCTCTTGTAGGGCCCCACTTACTCCCACTCTAATGGGAGCCTCCCTGAGCAGTCCCTGGGGGAGTTCAGGGCTGCAAGGCTGTCACTGTCACTGCCAGTGCCCTGTGCATGGGACTCTGGGGCCAGTGGGCTAGGGGCCTCCAAGCCTGGAAGATCCCCTAACTGCCCCTTTGCAGCCCACCTCTGCCCAGGGCATCTCAGGATGGGAAGGGAATCTCCCTTGCATAGCCTGCCGAGAGTTGAATGATCAGCCCCAAGAGCCCAGCCAACCTATGGTCACTCAGGGACCCAAAAGGCTGTGGAGACCCAGAGGAAGGTCCAAAGGTGAGGCTAAGCCAATGAAAGGAGACCGGAAGCACCACTATCCTCAGAGGTCCCAGTACCCAAGAGAAGGAGGCAGAGCCCATGCCAACCCTCTGCCTTCAAATGGTGGAGAGTAGAAACCAAGTGGTCAACACCTTCATGCCCAGGCCCAGGAGAAGGGGCAGCAGATGTATACCTGCCCTTCAGTCCGGCAGGAGCCTTCACTGTCTGCTGCCTGACCCGTGCTAGCCCAGGACAGGGTTTCCTCAGAGCATCTGCTGCCCTGCTGGGAGCAGAACCCTATTGCCATCCTCTTGGGGCCTCAGGCCCTGCTGCCCTTCCCTGGAGCTGCCCCAGGCCTGTCACACACCCACCTCCACACCACAGCTTCATACTGTGGGGAACCCACCCTGAAGAGACTCGGCTCACTGCCACCGCCTGCACTGGTCCCTGCCAGCCCATCCTTGCCTGCTCTGTGGGCAGACTCAGCTGGAAGACTGGCTTATTCCCTCTGGGCCCCAGCGCACTAGCTACTGCAATGTCCTTCATTTACAGAGTAAAGATATTCTTTATCAGGAGAATAAAAAGAGTTTGGGTTAAAAAAAATGAAGTCTTGATTTCTCCAAATTAGGAAAGGCTATGGAAAAAAGCACATATAAACTTGTGACTGCAGGGACCTTGTCCTAGCTCCCACCCTAGTGCCTGACATGTTGCACAGGCTCCATAAATAATGTGCTAAATGTTGAAGCCAGGCATGGTGGTGCACACTTGTCTTATCAACACTTGGGAGGATAAGATGGAAGGATCCAAAGTTCAAGGCCAGCCTGGGCTACATAGTGAGTTCAAGGCCAGTGTGAATTACTATATAGCAAGACCCTTTCTCAAGAAACAAAGAGCAAAAGAGTTGAATATGTGTCCTTTCTTACCTTTTGCATCAGTGAGACAAAATTCTCAACACCCAGTGTTAAGGAGGAAGGGTTTACTGTAGCCTACTGTTTGTAAAAGTTTCAGTCCAGGGCCGGGGATTTATCTCAGCAGCATAAGCACCTGCCTGTGAGTGCAAGGTTGTGAGTTCAATCATGATCGGCTGTTTCCAAAGCACAGTGGCACCTCGCAGAGGGGCTTCGTGGAGGAGAAACAGCTCATGGTAGAGTATGGCAGGCAGAAGGCAGCAAGCAGCAGCCTGCCTTGCCGCTTCCTCTTTATATTCTATCAGACTGCAAACCTATTGATTTGGTACAATCCACACCCAAGTGGGGTTTCCATTATCCACACCCTTAAATTTAGCATCACACCCTGAATCCACATCCCACACACCTTAACCCACCCACCTGCGAAAACTCTGTATTTCCAACCACATGAGGCTTTGGGAGATCCCTAGATACAAACTGTAATGTGTTCTAATCTAAATTCTGACTAGGAGAGTCCTGTGGGTCATCAGGTGTGGAAAAAGTCAGTTTAGCTGGGGAATTTTATGGAAAATGAAAAGGAGGCAGAAATTGTTTGAAATATGAGTTAAATTCATTTGACACATGAGAAAAGTTGGTTAATAAAAATGAATAAAGGGCCAAATGTGGTGGTGCACACCTGTCATCCCAGAATTTGAGGCAGGATGATGACCATGATTTCAAAACCAGCCTCGGCTACATAAGTAAACTCAGGGTCAACCTAAACTGCACGGTGGGATCTTGCCTCAAAGGAAAAAAAGAAAAAAGAAAAAAATTCCAGCAATTGGGAGGCTGAAGCAAGAGGATCACCTTGAGCTTGAGGCCAGCCTGGACTACACAGAGAGTTCAAGGATAGCTTGAATTACAAAGTGAGATACTATCTCAAAAAACAAAATGGAGAAAAAATAGCTGGAAAAAATATTTGAGTAAATGATGATTCGGCTTGATTTTCCAGCTTCACACATACCTTACTCAATCCCTAATCTGCAGGCAGGTCCTCTCTGGCTATTCAGAAGACCTGAGAAACTTTAAAATGTCACTCTTTGGATACACACACATCCCACTCATGGCCACACCCAGATACTGAAGACACTTGACCTTTTGTGTTCTCATGATCCACTTTAGGAGGGTTACTTCTGTTTTGTCTTTTTTTTTTTTTTTTTGTCTTTTTCCTTTTTATCGGTACCGGGGATCGAACTCACGACCGCCTGCTTGCAAGGCAGGTGCTTATGCCG